TAGACATGTACTGCAAGTGTGGCGAGCTTGAGGAGGCTCGCAAGATTTTCCACTCCATGGGAACTCGGAGTGTTGTGTCCTACACCGCGATCATCCAGGGCTGCAACACGAACGGGCGAGCTGAACTTGCTCTGGAGTACTACTCTGCCCTGAGAGCTGATAACACCATTCAAGCTGATGCTTGGACCTACACGTGCGTCCTTGTTGCTTGCGGGAGTGTGATGGCGATCAAGCTCGGGAGGGAGATTCACCAGCTGGTGAAGCATAAAGGGCTGCTGAAAAACAATCCAGTTCTGGGCTCCAGCCTGGTGAGCTTCTACGGCAAATGCGGTGATGTTGATTCTGCTCAGGAAGCGTTTGACGAGTGCCGAGCTCGGGACGACACGGGTCTCTGGAACTCTCTCATACAGGCTTACACTCTCCAGGGCCGATCGATCGAGGCCTTGGAGCGTTTCTATTCCATGACTCAGGAGGAGGGCTGTAAAGCTGACGATGTGAGTTTTGTTTCGGTGTTGAACGCTTGCAGCCATGGTGGTCTGGTCGGGAAAGGAAGGCAGCTTCTGGATGAAATGCCCAAGCAGTATGGAGTCAAGCCACGTCTGGAGCATTATGTGTGCCTGATCGATATGCTCGGGCGAGCTAACCTCCTCGACGAAGCTGTGAGAGTTCTCAGAGCCATGCCTTTTGAACCGGACGCAGTGGTTTGGACGTCCCTGCTCGGAGCCTGCCGGAAGTGGAAGAATTACACGATCGGCAAACTCGCGTTTGAGCGTCTTGTGGAGATGGATCCCAAGAGCGGCACGCCCTACGCATTGATGGCCAATATATTTGGAAACCTGGGGATGCTCAGTGAAATGGCCGCTGTTGTGGAGAGAATGAGAGGTGAAGGCAGCTTCAGGGAGCCCGGGAGAAGCTGGTGGACGGATGTTAGCTCAGGAAAAGTGCATTCTTTTTCTGTTGGGGATAGGAGTCACTCACAGAGCGACGAGATTGCGGCCAAGCTCAAGCAATTGTTGCTGAGAATGAAAGAGGAGGGGTACGCGAGCGATGTGATCAACGTTCTAAAAGACATACCCGAGGAAGAGAAAGAGGATCACCTGTGCGGCCACAGTGAGAAGCTTGCGCTGGGGTGTGCTCTGGTGAACTCGCACCAGAAGGAGACCATCAGAATTGTGAAAAATCTCCGAGTTTGTGACGGTTGCCATGCGGCCACTGCTCTCATCTCTAAGCTGGAAAAAAGGCTAATCATCTGCAAAGATGCCAGTCGGGTTCATGTGTTCCAGGATGGCAGATGTTCCTGTGACAACTACTTTTAAAACATGTCAGTGCTCTTTCTTGCAGTTATCCCTGGTTTTAAACCCTCCGTGAGTCGAGCAGAAACATGGGCCGCTGAGTGAGCATGCCTCGAAGTACCGCCGTCAACCTGAACTTCAAGGAGAAAAAATTAACATTTAAAAGTTAAAACTATGCAAAAGGAGGATGACACCGGGAGCAAGGTGATGGCGGCTTGCGGCATGACCAACTTTGGGTTTGTGCTCCTAGAGCACGTTGAAGACGTGTGGAGGCTGGTGACGACGGCATTTG